GACCATAAGTGAATGATTTAGACGTGAAAAAGAAGGATTTAAAAGCATGATATGATACCTTTTTAAGATCAAAATTAAAGTTTTCTGCTCAGAATATTTTTTTTAATTATCATTAAAATAGTGCTTCCAGTAAATGGCTGGCTAAAAGTAGGTCAATGCTTATTGAGCTAGCAAAAAAGCCAACTAAAAAGTAAAAGTAAAACCAAAATCTAAACATACCAAAACAAAAAATAAACTAGCTAAAAGCTATCAGTAATAAATGGCTAGCTAAAAGCTAAAAGTATCAATTTGGTATCTAGAAGCTTAAAAGTAGGTCAGTGCTATTTAACGCAGCAAAAATGTTGCTAAAACTGAAAAGTAGCTGACTAAAAACTGTTCATACCAAATTAATAGCAAATATCTATCTAAAAGAAGCAAATATTTGGCTAAARATGCTAAAAAGCTTGCTAAAAATAGCAAAATCTAGCATAAACATATCAAATCAGAACCCTAACTAAAAGCTAATAGCTAAAAGTATCAAAAGAGTAACTAGAATCTAAAGCAAAAGTAGCTAAAAGTATCAAAATGGTATATAGAAACTTAAATGTAGTGGCTAGCTAAAGGTAGGTCAATGCTATTTAAGGTAGCACAAAAGGAGCTAAAAGTGAAAATTAGCAGTAATAGCTAAAGGCTAAACATACCAAAATACTAGYTAAAAGCTGAAAGTAGTAAACAGCTAAAAATTGCTTTTGCAGCTAAGCTGGAAAGAAAAGTGTTTTGTTAAAAGTTATTAAAAGTATTATAATAATATTATTATATTATATTATATTATAAAGTATTATTAAAAGTATAAAAAACAAAAATATTCCAAAAGCTGTTTGCAAAAGTTTGGACACCCTGAAAGCTTCTCATTCAAACAGTAAAAACTGGATTATTTCCTATGTTTATTAATCTGAGTTTGCAGCAGATTTGTTTTGTTTTACAGAATAAATGTCAGATGAAAGGTTCTGCAGTGATTCAGAGAAGTGATTGTTTTGAGGTGTTTGTTGTGTTTCCTGCTGTCAGCTGGGTTTGATCAAACAGCTGAAGCTGCTCCACCGGCTCTCATGCCTCAGAAATCTGAGACGTGTCTCTTTTTATAGACAGCGTGAGTCAGCTCCGTCCACTCCTCCGAGTGTCCCACAGAAACAGAACCAACTTCAGTTTCTGAGTAAATCCCTGCAGCTAGTTTARGGTTTGTTTTAGAAAACTGAACAAAAGGATCAGAAACACAGAACAGGATCCTGAAACTGCTCAGAGAGGAGCTGCAGGGAACTCCGGAGCAGGAAGTGGGGTGTGGTGGAGCTGGAACTGCCCCCCCCCCCCGTCTCCGTCACTGGGTTGACTCCCTCTGAGTGAGAGTCGGCTCCAGTGGATCTGAGCCGACAGACTGGCTGAGAGGACGGGCGAGACAGAAGGACAAACTTWAAAAAATGTCAGAATTCTTGGTGAGGTTTGATGTTTTAGATGTTGTAGTGGGTCCAGGTTTAGTTTCTGCTGTTTTTGCTGATGTTTGGGAGTTTCTGTGTTTTTCAGCTTTCTGGGACTCGGCTCTGTGCTGTCAGCGGCGCTCCTCCCTCCGGACCCGGCGCCCTCTGAGCCGGACCCTCAGCCCCGAGCGGACTAAGGTCGGGAGGTCACGGCCGTGGGACTGCAGCCTTCACAGCGACAGCGCGCCTCCCACCTTGCAGCTCCACACGGCCCCGCCCTCCTCTCACCTGGAGGGCAGGTTTTCCAGCGGACCCCTGTGTTTCGTGAACCCGCTGTTTCTGCAGACCCACCCCCGCCGCCAAGACGACCTCCCCCCTGAGCCGGAGGAAACGGCTGTGCTGGAACCGCCACCTAAGAGCCGGAACGTGGATCAGATCCAACCCACCTGTAAGTCCCCCCC